AAGATCGCGGTGTCCAGAACAATACGATGAGCATGAAATACGAATACATAATACCAAAAGCAAAAGCAATTCGAGAAGTCGGAAAAAGAAGAGGAACCAGAGGAAGAATAACATGACAACATAGGAGCAATCACAAACGCAACAACAACTGTAGCTACAGTCTGGTTCTGGGACTTGCGAAATGATGTCATAGGAGAAAGCGAAGCAGCAAAACAGATCCAACCCTGTGCTCCAGGTTTTGAGTTCGAACTTACAAACTCAGGCGAAGCGATTGGAAAGATATTGATGGAGTTCATGTTTCAGCGGAACGTCTCCATAGCCGTGTTGCTCACAACGGTTTGGCCGATCAAGCAGGCCTTTGACATGGAATTCGTGTACGAGTTTGGCACGGACACAAACAGCCAATGGCACACTTTCCAAAGCGACCCGTTTCACAACTGTGACCAGGTTGCTGTGGCAAGTGTTTTTGACGAGAAGGCATTTCAAAAACACAAAAAGGCGCACGGCAGGTCACACGTACCAGCTGAGGTGCAGGCATGAGCGCAGGGTCGAAAGAGTGGCAGCTTCTCCAAGATCTCATTTGGACAGCGATCAGAAACGAAGACATGGTTTTTGCAAAAGTTCGCGACTTCATTTTCCACGAGGACAATGCTTTACATCCTGGAGACATCATTCAATGGGTGAACGTGCAAACATGATCGGGAAAAGCGCCTGTGAGGACATTCAGGCCCTGGTGACCGACCAGTTGGAACATCCACAAAGTTTTGTGCCCGAGTGCTTCTTGGGATGGGTCGCCACGCTGCTCCCAGGAGATGTTTGGAGGAATGTTTTGTTGTGAGATGCGAAGATCATCTTGACTTTCGGTGTTCGTAGCTGTCCCATGCGACTTGTCATTCATGACTTTTTCGCGGGCGACTAGTGCTAGGGTTCGGAAAGAACCATGGCCTTTCAGGCGCAGCCGCCGTGAGTCAAAGTCAGTCCCCTCACTGACGATTCACGATAACCCAAGCATCAGGAACCGCCGCCATGTAAATCCTGTTTCAGTGAAGTTGCGCAGCCAGCAGTGCAGGGAAATGCTTTTCGATTCAGCCCCGTCTTCTTCATTGGTTCTGCACGACAACAAAGCGAGAAATTGTTGTCAACCTGTCTCACGATACGCTTGTTTCGAAGCGGCAATGAAGAAGAAACATAAGAATAAATATAATGCATCATTGTGCTGAATAGGTCCGCTGTCTGCAATTTGGAAGCATCCATGCGCGACTTGGTAAAATTCTCTGCGACGGCACATAGATCCGCACAATGTTCCGGATACACATGAGACATCAGCCCGTGCTTCGTTCTTTCATTCTGTCGCTAGGCCCTTTTGCACACGCAGGGCATCTTCATTCTACTTTGCCCACCGTTGACGCTCAATGTGACGATGCCACTTTCCGTGACCGCTTGGAAACCCCAATTCAGAGCACTTGTCTTCGCAATCCATTCTCAAGCCGTTCCCGACACTGCGATCCAGGAACTCGTCTTGAACTCGCTTTCATGCTTCTGACATCCAGTTTGCTCCCGAATTCGCTGCCTTCGTTTCCAGATCTTCTATTGTGGTTTTTGTGACACCGCGAACTAGTTGTTGTCGATCCTTCAGTTAATGGCAAAACAAGCAAGGCTTATCAAAGCAAGTGTCACGTGGCATATGGAGTCGTTTGTATACTTCTCCTACGAGCAAGTCCTGAAGGGATACCTGGCCGATTTGACATTCTGGGAATTCTTTGGTTCGACCTGGTTGCTGAGCGTGCTCTTGGGACGCTCGGCTCATGTGTTTGCCGACAAACTGTCAATGATAAAGGGAAACCCATATAAAGACACGGAGTTCACTTCAACTATTACGGAAGCGTTCAAGGTTTAGTGAGTTTAGTGCCTGAATTGATATAGCTCCGAGTACGCAGCACTTCAAAGCTATTGGGTGTCAACCATCTGGTCTGAAACAGCCATGAAGGTCAGGTTTGCGTGATGCATCGCACCATCAACGAGATGGACTTCTGGGGATCTGAGCTCCTCAAAGATCCACTCATCAACTCCATTGGCTCTCTGCGCCTCAAGGCGTCGCCGATTTTCTCCGCAACGGCCGCTGCCGTGCTGGGCGAGGGCGCGAGAGCTTACAGCGTGAATGGAGCGAGTCGGCTTCTGACGTATGCCGTGTACGTCTGGGGCGAGGATAGTAGCAGAAATTACCTTGATCGTGCTTCCTTTTCGTTGCTTCGGTTTGTAAGTTTGCCATTTGCTAAAGGCCTTCCTGAAGTGGCTTCCGGCGTACATCAAGCGCTTCCACAGTCTCGGAGTCTACAACCTCATGGTTTTCGGTGACACTGCCACGTACCAGGTTTGCTCTGCGATCCAGAGGGCGGTTTGCCTCCAACTGGATACGAAGAACTCTCTCCACCGCTATACGATTCCGTTGGCTCTCATGAACCTGGGTGTGGATGCCTTTATCCTCGATTTTGATATCTATCCTTTTCAGGACGCCTTGTGGTGGCTATCTTGACGAAAGGTTCAGCACAACAGCTTGCCGTGGGGACTTGCTTGAGGGCACCTTTTCTCTAAACTCTACTGTAAATGCATCAAAGCCTTGCCTGGCTGGGGCGGGATTCTGTTTTTGGAGGCAAGTTGGACTTCCCCGATAGCTTGCCGTACTCAGCAAAATTGTTGCAACAACTCAAGTTCTTCTATAGGTAGCCCCACGGCAGAGCGTGAAAACTTGAAAATGCCAAAACAGCTGGCTTGGGACCGAGAAACTCCGCCCCTAAACATTCCGAGACCTCAATATCTCAGCTCTCCTTCTCGCGCCAGAGGATCCAACACCTGTTTTGATTTCTGAACTGGAGAGCTACGGTGTCATGCCGGAGTTTCTGATTTCTGGCTCATTCGGCGATGCCTGCATTTGCAATGCTGGCGGGTCGGACTGAGTAACATTTTGCTGCTAAAAATTGCGCAACAGGCCTTGTGAAGGTGGCTTGCAAGACTGGTATAGTACTGTGAAAAGCACCTCCAATGCATTCTCCCAAGCTTTGCGCTGTAGGAAGACGACAAGTCACACTGAGGCATTGGCCTTCTACCGGAGCACGCCTTCGCTTCGCGACTTCATCCGCGGCTTGTTGGACTGGCTTTATGAGCATCCCTTCCCGCATGCTGTTTCGCAGAGGGCACTGTCTGCGTTTTTGGGGGAAGCCCGGCTTGGAGACATCACGGTGCCAAGTGGCACAAAAGCATGATAGGATTTGCTTGGCTTCGGCTACCCGTTTTTGTTCAGGATTTGCGAAGCAAGCTTGAGAATCTGTGATTGGGTTTTTGCTCGAGCTGAGAATTCAGACCACCACCAAGGAATCACCCTTAAAGAAAAGGCAAAGCACGGGCCCATTCTTCGTGAAAGCTGAGAGACTGGCTCCTTGGCTTCCGGACCGTGCCAGACCTGGAATCGCTTGGGCTGTGCTAGATCCAGGCGGGCGGAGGGAGCCGATGGAAAACATGGGGAGCATTAAATCGACATGGAACAGTTGTCTATAGGAGTTCACAACAGTCGCAGAGCAAGATCTACGTGTTGGCACATACTGTTGGAGCAGATGTTGCTGGGATCCTGAGACCAGCATTTAGAAATATCTGGACTGCAGCCCTGGTTAGAGGCGTGCAGTTTTCCTCGTCAGCCAACCTCGAAACCTCGGGCTGGGCAGGCGACGCAGAGGACCCAGCTTTGCAAAAAGCTGCTGTCTTGGACGGGAAACTAACACCGAGTGCAATGCAAGCAAGGGGTTTAGTCATGTCAGGTGTTTGCGGCCCCTGATGGGCTTCGCCAGGAATCATCAGCACGCTTCAAGCAAAGGGAGTGACTTGAGCTGACACATGCACCGACAGGCACATCGATACGGCCAATCGATACATCGCCCGAGGAAGCCCGAGGCGCTGACTGCCTATACGTCCGTTAGGACATGAACACCGGTCAGTGCGAGAAAACACACCACATCGACACTTCTAACGTATTTTCACGCCCCTTTTTGTGTTGGCTTGGACATAGTCCGTGCTCGGACCGTGCCCCAGTTGTCTGATATCCATGGCTGAGAAAAGTCGTTGCGGTGCTGTGCAACATGCTGTTGGATTTCTTGTCTGCGTAGAGGACATTGTGATCTATCACTTCTTCTATGGCGCTTGGTTGGATGCCGAAGTTGCCATGGCGATAGACGTGAAGGACAGGGAGATGTTCGATATCTTCTACAACACAAGCTGTGGCAAAGAGCCGCAGTTGTGTGAAGATCGTCGGAATCAGAGGATTCGGAAACACCTCGTTGCAAACAGGCGGGGAGATGTACGCAATCATACCGAGCGAGCGTGCTTCTCGCTACCATACTCTTCCTTTGATCTGGAACCTGTGCCGAAATCTGGGCTGGGAAAAATGAGCCGTGCCTGAGCTACCGCCGTGTCATGTAGGTTTTTGTCGTCCTTCTCACCTCAGCTTCATCATCAGCGCGGGTTTTGTGTATGTGATCCGAATTCGGAAACAGTCGAAATCTTACTGTGCCGTACAAGACCTTATTGTTTTCGGGTCCAGGATTTTGGAGTGCACACCTCTCAAAGCTGTTGCTGACGTAAGTGCTAAGCCCTTGAGCACCTTCCGACGCTTCTTTTTTCTTTGTCTGTTCATGGCTCCCTTCACAACGTGCATCAGGCAGTTCAGCAGGCCGTGTATGTTGAGCAATGCAACAGCAAGCCTGAGAGGCACAGAAGGGTATCCCGGCCCCATGCAAGAACGACCTTCGGTCGCGTCAAGATAGGTGTCACTGAAGGAGCGGACAGCATTGAAACAGCAAACCCATCATTGCCACGAGAACGGAAAGCCCCAGTAGCCCATCATTGCCAAAGCATTCCGTTGCCAAAGCATTCCGTTGCCCATTGCACCGAGTTCAGACACTTGACATCGTCCAGCATGGCCACTCTACGACTTCTCGAGCGTTGGCCGTAGCATGATGAAGCTGCAATGTCTGATGATTGTGCACGTCTGGTGGAAGGCGTTTGCCGAGTTCTCCGAACCGGGCTTGCAGAATTTAGTGCTGGCAAAGCCCGTCGCGCAAGGCTTCAACCGCACAGCATTCGCAAGAACCTTGCATGAGGTTTTGCGTGACCCGGTGAGGATGAAGTTCGGTGAGTTTCAGAAGATTTCGAACTTCAGATCTGGGAATACATCGCACGGGAACAAAGAGCTCACCGCTATCTCCGTTTCATTTGGCCACGACTCATCCATAGCAATTAGTCAAGGAGGGTCGATTCAGTGTATCCTGGAGCTTGAGAGGTTGTTTGGCAAGCGTTACTTCCACCCACTGTATCCTTGTGCGGACCGCGCCGCGCCATGCCCGGATTGGACATGGATATGGAGAGTCAGCATCAAAGGTGCTTTGCGGGCATTCCACAGGCACTGCTCTTGTGGCGGCACTGACTGTCCAACGGAGTTTGACGTTGGAGTGTTTATCACGTTTAATTCACCTCGATACACTGCAATTGCAGATCTCATCCATCAAGTTTTTTCGGTAAGGGAGTGGCGTCTCCTGGATCATCACCATGCGCACGCATTGATAGGCTTCTTCGATTCGCAATTCCCATCAGCTTTAATAGTCTCCTATGACGCCGAGGGCAATGATGGGACCTTCAACGCATATGTTGGCTTAGGCCGCGACATTGTGCGGGTGGCTCAGCTTGCCCTTGATCCAGGGTATAGATACAACATGATGGGGGCGCTACTGCCGGAAGTGACTGGACTCTGGGACGATCATCCGTTGTTGTGTTCACACTTCGACCTTGCGAATGATGCGGTTTGGGTGGATGCAACTGCTTTCTATGATCATGTCATGGTCAAGGGTACAATTCTCAGCGTTGCTGGTAAGCTCATGGGCTACGCAGCCACCGGTGAGGCCCCCGGCACACCGATCACGGAACTGCAAAGCTTTGTCCGTGCCTATTTCAGGTCAAAGGAAAGATACGGTTTGATACCTGCGCGTGTCCTGAGGGCGGCTTGTGGAGACCTGACGTCCCAGCGATCTCTCGCATGGATAGTCCAGGAAGAGTTCAATCAGCTGGTTACAGGTGCCGTAGAAGGTTTATTGCTTCGAGTGTCTGAGAGCCTGCCATTTTCCCTCCACGGTCTCGTATTCACCGGCGGCTGTGCCCTAAACGTTATCACCAACCAGCTAGCTTTCGAACGATTCACCGACCGCGGTGCCGCAGTCTCCAAGACGATCGTGGAACTCCCCAGCAACTTGAGGGTCAAGGCCTTTTTCCACCAAGTGTGGTATGAGCTTTTGGGTACAGTCGTGAGCTTCGGGTCACGGTGCGGCTTGTTCTGTTCGGCCCTGGAGGACTTCCACGTCCCGCCCGCCCCGAACGACTCTGGGCTGTCGGCAGCTGGGCTGTGGTCCATATCGTCACCACAGAAGCACCAGCAACTGCAGTATTTGGGGTTCGGCCTCTGGGATGAAGAGGCTTTGGAAGCATCAGCAGCAGAATGGAAAGCAGTTCGCCTCAGTTCTCTGGGAGGTGTGGACTACCTTGCTGCCCTTCTTGCAGGCTCGGGTTAGGAAAGCACAGTTTGACCGCAAGCCTGCATATTCCATAGTGTATGGCCGCGCATGTTGCTGCTCATCGACCGGGTCAACTGTGAGATTAGGCCGCTCCCCATCAAGGCAAATTCGGTAAAACTAATGTTGGATTCTCCAGCCTAGTTTTCCTTTGAGCTCTGCCGGAAAGGTGAGAACCGAACAAGGAAGCCCATTGTTGCCGTGGTACGCGGACGCCAAGAGTTTGGACCACGGGCTTTGGGTCACCGGTCGCTGCTGGCACTGCCCGAAGGCACTGAGATAAAAGACCGGTTAAATAGGCTCAAGTTCCGACAATGGTACCGGCCAGTGGCCCCGATGATCGCAGATGAAGACTTGGAGACTGTTTTTGGCTACGTGGCTAAATCTCCCTACATGTGCCTTGGATTCATGGCGATTTCGGTGCTTTCTTGAGCGACACCGTAAAAGGAAAGCTTGTGTCGGATGATTAGGTGACTGATTGAGTGGCGCCATGCAACGATGTGACCCTGTCCGTCGTTGATTCGTGATCACCATGTCATACGAGTGACCCTGTGACCGTCATTGGATGCTTCATTTCTTGTGGCACCATGACATGGTTACATTGTAATCTCACCAAGGACCATGGCGCCACTGGTGAAGGAAGACATCCGTGTTCGATTCCCAGCCCTGGCACATCTCGATGGCACAGCCAGGCACCAGTCCGTGGGGCAAGCGGACGAGCCATGGATTCATGCATTGCTGCTGGCTGTGAAGAAGTGGACCGGCCTGGCTGCCCTCATCAACACCAGCTTCAATTCCAAGGGCAGGCCCATAACAAATCGGGTCCAAGAGTGCCTGCAGATGTTGCGCGACTTGCCAGATCTGGATTTCGTCCTCATCGAAGACTGGCTTTTCGAAGCCCAGAGATGCAGCGAAAATGCCTGCGCTCTCCAACCTCATGTCCCGCTGATTGATTTAGTCACACGACGACAAAGGGGTCTGACAACGTTCATTTGTTGCGAACAAGATGTGTCAGTCTTCGCGCCTCACGCCTGGTGATTGTGGCCTGGCTTTCAGGTGCTCTTGACTTTTCTGCAGTTTTTCGCAGAGGGGTGCAAACACCACATTAGCAACGGGCAAGGATAACCTTGGTCGGCTACAACGAACCAATTATAAACCGTATTTTCATAGGATGCATATCGTTGCGCAGCCGTCTCCAGTCGTGCACCCGCCACAGTCCTGTGACGTCTCAAACTGGCGTGGCGGCGTGGCATTGGACGGCAAGGTGAAGTCATTCTCTCGTCACAGGCCTTGAGCGTAGGGCTAGGACTCCTGGAGATGATGAAGCTTAATCGGTCGGGTTTGTTCGCTCACCCTGTTTGGGTGGAAGCTTTGAAAGAAGATTCGCCGATCATTCGTGCTCGGCTCCAGCTTCTGGGTTCTACGATTTTGGTTTATTTAGAGTCTTCAGATCGTGTCTTATTCTTGTTATTTGCTTGTTATTTGCATATGTTTCATATATGAGCGTTGATCTAAAGGTCCTTGT